CCCGCCCCCCCCAAACAACCCCCCTCCAGCAACAATGACCACTGTTAACATTTTCTTCTAGCTTCATTCAGGGCAGACCTTTTACAGAAGGGTGGTCACCCTGTTGGAGATGTTTTGTAGCACACTTGTACCCCTTGGCAATTTATCTGGAGCCTCTTCCGAGTCCATAAATCGTGTTCTCCAGCGCGATTTAATGCCCACAAGGCATTACTTCACACGGACGGGTCAGCGCTAAGCAATCTGCTGCCACTTAGCATCTAGTAGTTTCCAATTTCTGGTTCTTATAAGTAACGCTGCGATGAGTATCATCTGGTGCAAACACTGCCGCACAAAAGTTGGAATATTTAGCCAGGATGGATTCCTCAGAGCAGAACTGAGCATCTCAGTGGGCACTCACCACCTGCAGCGACGCCCCTGTTCCTGCACAGCCCATCTCCTTTGCGCTCTCTTCTGCACCGCAAGCCCAGGACCCCGCTGGACCCGGAGCCTACCCCAAACTTCCCTTCTCCCAGGCTGATGGCCAGGGCCCCTTTGAGGAAAGAGAATTCCGAGGAAGGATTATTATCTGATTAGTCCAGAGTGGATCCGATTCCCCAGCCCTAGAGAGTCCTGGGCTGTGGCTCATACAGAAATCTCCGCCTTATCTCATGAACCGTGACTCACCTGGGGTTGCCAGGCGCTGGGCAGTTCTGGGTCATTGTTTGTGTCGAGTGAGGAAAGGAGAGGAGGATTTTTGACTTTCTACCAAAAGTTGGAACTGTTTACTGTTCTCTCTGGCTCTCCGTAAGCCGGCCAGCCCTGAGGGATGGAGGGGGTCTCCCAGCAGCCTCCATATTAAGACGAACTTTAAGTCGAAAGCACTTCTGTTGTGATCAGGTCACTGTTTTTGGAAGCCCGTTTCTCCTGGTGGCTATTTTCCTTTCATTTAGATAAACCTCTTGGTTTAGAATAGTTTTCGATTTCCAGACAAAGATTTGCAAAGACAGTAGAGAGAGTCCCCCTTCACCCCTCTCCCAGGGTCCCTAATGTTAGCTCTTACATTACCAGGGAACATTTTCCCCAATAAGGACCAACGTGGGTGCATTACTGCTTAATTCTACTCCACACTTTATTTGGATTTCCCTTTTTTCCCCCAATATCATTTTTCAGCCCCAGGAGCCCATGATACGTTTAATCTCATGTTTCTTAACCGCCAGGCAGGAGAGGCCCAGAACATTCTAGCTAGAGTACCGTGGGCAGAGGGACTGCCAACCGAGGTGGTTGGTTTTCATAATGGGAGAGAAAGCAACGTGCTCCCGATCCTTGGCGGGTGGCCCTCCAGGGGTCTCGGCATTTCCATCCCAGCACAGCCTCTCTCGGGCTGCACCACACGCCTGTTTTTCATGCCCCCAAAGCTGTCCCTGCGTGGCCGCTTCGCCAGGACGTCAGACATCGGAATAGCCACTGGGACAACTAGGCAGTGAGGAGGGGGCCGAGGACAGCGTGGAGGGGAGAACGCTCTTGACAGTGACCGCCAAGCCCAGGCTCAGCTTCCGCGAGGAGAGAGCTGACGGGGACCCTGCGTGCATTTCAGCAGCTTTGTCTTTTCTCCTTGGCCAATGCAGCTGCCTTGGTGATGTGTTCCCAGCAGGAGGGGCCGCCACCTTCTTTCTGGCTGTGGAGCGTCCTGCAGAGACTCTGGAGAGCCCCAGAGGGCCACCCTTAGGGCTCCGGCCCCTCGGCTCTTCTTTCCCACCTGGCGACCCCACGCATCCTCCCGAGGGGCTGGCCCTCCCCAGCCCCGAGAGGGTGTTTCCAGAGCACGGCTGTCACGCCTTCACTGACTTTCCTGGAGTTTGGGGAGCCCAGAGTGGCACGTCTAAATGTCATGTAGGACGCAGAGCTTTACATGGATCTGGGCAGGAGGCAGACGGGTTTGAGTGACACCCAGTCGGGCCTGGAGCCCTCATCCCCGGGTGGGTGGGCGGAGCTCACACAGGCCCTTCCTCGGACACTGATGTTGGGGTCTTGCCTTCCTTGTGCTCCCTCCCTGCTGCCCTCAGCCCCCGGACGCTCACGGCTGCCCAGCTTCCTGCATCCCATGCTGCCCTGAGCTCCATCCACTGCTGGTCCTGCACAGACCCGGCAGGGGGTTCAGCCCTGCCGCCCCCGATGCCCAGCCACCGAGTGAGTGTCCGGCAGCATGAGCTGGTGCCCTGGCCACCTCCCTGCAGAGAGCAGCATGCCCGCTTCCCCCAGGTTCCCGTTCTTCTCTCCGTCTCCTGTGCTTTCCTGTCCCCTGAATGTCAGCACGCTGGCTCCCGGCTAGCCCCCCCAGGAGCTCCCGGATTCTCAGAAAGTTGCTGCCTTTCTCAGATCTCTGAAAGCTCTTTGCTTTAGAAGCCCATGCCTCCGCCAGCCCTCACCACACCTGGCTGCACATCCCCCGTCGTCTTTGCCTCCTGCAGGCTCCTGTCTGCACGTCTGCATCGTCTGCCCCGAGCTGCGTCCCACTGAGCACGTTGTGAGTGCAGGCCCTGGAGGTGTGCAGCCCACAGCCCCACTGATTGACCTCAGCAGACCTCCCGGGCGTTGACCAGGGGAGGGGACAGGGCGTCGCTGCCCCCCATCTCCATGTGCACCTCCAGAAAGCGCGCCACACTTCACATCCGCATGGCCAAATCCTGGCTCCACCCAAGGCTGCCCTTCCTGCAGCTTCTCCCGGAAATGGTGCCAAGTGGATGCCCAGGCCTGAAGCCTTGGAACCATCTTGAAGCTTCTCTTTCTTTTACACCCTGTCCTGTCTGTCGGCACGTTCTGCGGGCATTTCCAGCTACAGACACTCAGGATCTGAGGCTTCCCGCTTGTTCCCACCCATCACCCTGGTCCAGCCTCCACCAGCTCTCGCCTGGACCATCACAATAAGCTCTCGACAGGCGGCAGCTGCCAGAGCACAGCAGGGATGGGCAAGTCAGGCCGCCCTCAGGGAAGCTGTGGACGCAGGACAGGGAAGGGAAGGGGCAGAGTCAGGGGACGATTTCACGGCATTGGCCACGGGGTCGGAAGGTGGTTTGTAAAACCCCAGGTACCTGGGGCTTTGCATACGGGGTGCAGCAGCTCCAGCCCCCAAGGGCCACCTGAGGGTCCTAGGAGGTGGGGACGCAGAGCTTGGCAGAGCAGTGTGAGAGTCTGGGCAGGGCTCCACAGTGTCCCCTTCACCACGGACCTGCCCCAAACCCCCAGGGCACCCAACTCAACACTGCGGGGGTCTTTCCGTGGCCCAGCCCACCTGCTCACCCACCGCGCCCTCACCAGCCCTGGGGACCTCCTTCTCACCTTTGGGGGGCCCAGTGCATTCCCACTTCCTGGGCCTCAAGCTACAGGCTGTCGCCCCAGTGCCCCGGCCCCTGCAGACACCCCTGTTCAGGGTGGCCTTCCCTGCCTACCTGCCCCTGGGCCCTGCTTCTTCCCTGCAGCTCTCATCCATCTGAGCTTTTGCAGGTCTATTGGCATATTGGTCTCTGTCCAACATCTAAGTGTCCTGAGGGAGGGACTTTGCCTCGGGCCCACTACTGAGTCACGGGCACCTTGCTTTGTGTCTGGCACATAGTAGGTGCTCAATAAATATTCAATGAGTGAGTGAGTGAGCTGTCAGGGCACAGAGCAGCAAGGGGGCCTCTACGGGGGTGGTAGAGAGCCCTGTACATGGATTCCTGAGGCCTAGAGGAACAGGTCACCCAGGCCCCCAGCTTCCTGGGAGAAGCTGCCCTCCTCCCAGGAAAGACGGTCAGGCTACGTTAGAGTCAGAGCAAACGGCCTCGATGGCTGCTCTGCAGGACAGGACAAGGCCCTGCCCAGGCCTGGCGGTGGCCCTTGAGTGGGCTGCTCTGTGCACCTCGGAACCGCAGACAGATTCCAGTGCCAGGAGGCATCCAGACACAGCGCCACGCAGGCCATCCGGGATTCTACAGCCAATAGCACTAATCGCTGCTCACTTGTCCCCCAGCCCTGAATCGGTCTGAGGAGTTCGCATCCAGACCTGGGATCTGCCCGGTGGTGAGGCCAGAAGCGTCTACCTCGTCATGCACCCTGGATGCGGACTGTCCTGGTCTTCAGAAGTGCTGCCCTTCGTCGGGGGGCCCCCGCTGCTCGGCCCCTGCCCCCCAAGGTAGGGCTGAGGCCTGATCTGGGAGAAGGTGGGGGGAGGAGTGAGTTTCTGGTAGCAGCAGCCTGGGTTTTATGGGGAGCCTGCAGCCTGTGCACAGGCCCATTTCACTTATAAAATCCGGCCACTGACCCCTCAGGGAGAGAAGTGTGCTCACAGCTGCCCTGAGGGGGTTAGACGTTCCTGGAAAAGCAGGGACCCCAGTTTCCCAAGATTGCCTGGGGAGGCCCTCAGAACTCCCGGTGAGCTTGCTGGGGGCTGAGCTGTGTCAGAGCTGGGAGGTTTAGGGCTGTCTGCTTGTGCAGCCCCACGGGGACACGAAATCCTTCCCAGGCCCCTGTCTGGCAAGTCGGTGCAGGCCCCCAGGAGGAGAGATGGTCAAGGTTCAGAGCCGGGGAAACATATATAAACTGTATATATATATAACGTGCAATATACAATAGCACCGTATAAAGTAAGAGCATACATCGTGTACATATTATGTTACATATAATATATAATGATACTATGATACTGTGTACATTATAGTATATATGTTATAAGTAATATACGTCGTGTTATCTAATATACCCTGTGTACAATAGTCCATTCTACGGTATAAATAGGACCACATATAACATAAGAGAAGCGGGATCAGGGGGTCGGAAGCGTGCCACCCCATTCCCCAGGGGCCTCCTGTGGCCCCAGCCTGTCCTGGGCCTGAGAGTCATCCCTGTGCCCTCGGGCAGCTCCAGAGAGGAAGCTGGCGAGTTTCTGGTACAACGTGACCGTCCTGGTGAAGATGGACTTCACGGAGCTCCAGCAGGCGGACCCCAGGCTGCTGGATCACATGAGGCTCCTGCACTCCATGGTAGGTGTCGGGGTGTCGGGAGGGGTTCCACAAGAGATCCCAACTGACTGACTCTGAACCAAATGTGGATTCTTACTTAAAAACAGCTTGGGGCTTCCCTGGTGGCACAGTGGTTGAGAGTCCGCCTGCCGATGCAGGGGACACGGG